TAAAATAGCTCGATAATTTGTTCTTAATCAAGAGTAAAATGGACTAGAAAACTTCATGTAACTTGATGAATGCTAATTGAGCCGACCAAATTAACTTAAATTTTTTTTTTATCTGCCACGTGTTGCTTGTTTATTTGTGGAAAAAAGGTCGGTAGCAAAACTATCATCAACAGATCATGACCGAGTAAATTTACCCATTAAGTTAATTTAACTATAAGTAAGCCCAGCCCAAATTATTGCCCGCGCCTATTAGCTTCAAAAACTCTTACTGAGCCCAGCCCAAATTATTAACCTGAACAAATCAGCTACTAATAATACAGTAAGAAGTTCTTAAGACCAGCTTTTGTGAAAATTTTTCAATAAATCTAATCAAGAAGAATGATTTTATATATAAGAGATTCATGCACTTCATTTGAGACATTCTTATGAGTTTTTTTGAAGTGCTTCATAAGAAAACTTGTTAACACTTTTTCATTATCTTCATCTCCATTAAAACCTTCTTCCAAAACCAAAGGAAATGAAAAAAGATACAAGAAAAAGAAGAAAATGTAGGGAAAAAATCGATCTTCCTTTAACAAAACCAATCTGCACATACGATTAAAAAACTGATATCTACTCGTTTTCTTACGAACCCGTTTTTTGGACTTTTTTTCACAAAAGTTGAAACAGCAACTCGTTCCACACGTCAGGCACGCCCGGCAAGCACCAATGTGTGCAATCAGAATAGCTCGATGGATTTGCCAATTTCTCGGGCCCCACCGCCTCCCAAAACTTACGGTAAATCGTGGGATGGCCATCTTTTCTGTACTCAGACAGCTGAGTGATGTTGAGAACCGAGACTTTCGAACCCAACCGAGTCAATATTTTTTCCACCATACGCATCGTGGGCAAGTCGGACCCACTTCCCCAGTAATTTTTGTCGTTTATTGGCTCTTTTTCGTTGTAACAATTGCCTTCACTTCCAGACTCCCATTCGTCTTTCCTGTTTTTAGTTGAGAGTAACAAATAAAATTTCTATCATTGTTAAAAAAATATATAATGACTATGCCACAGCTCATTAAATAAATGAGCCTGAAATCAAGCTCAAGCTCGACTCGTTCATCACTAATAACTAGAGTTCGAGCTGAACTATAGAAAATTATATAAAAATTCTCTTTTCGAGCCTTATCTAGTCGAGCCGAGCTCAGCTCGTTAGCCTAACGAGCTTTAAATGAGCTCGAGCTCGAGCTCAGCTCGTTCTTCAAACGAACCAAGCCGAGCTAGACTCGTTTAATTTAACAACACTAATCATTATAAATCTCGACTTGGCACTTTATTCGAAAACACAACTTAGGTTTTGGAAATGACGTACTTTTGATGTGTAGGCGACATGGTAACAAAGAAAACCTTCTTCTTCAAGGGATCAATATGGGTCGCAACCCAATCGGCCCACGACTCCAAAGCCAACTCCATGCCTCCAAGCCCACTAATTTCTTGGCAAACATTGTTCTCTTCATTGCTCCACCTAATTAGATACAACTTTAAAAATACTCGAGCTAATCTTTAAAATCAAATGAAAATGGCTCGTTTTTTATAACTTCGGGATGTACTTACCACAACTTGACTGGGCCCTGTCTCCACCATAAGTACGAATTGAAGACTAAAATGTCGGCTTGCTCCCATTTCGACGAATGCCTTAGAATCGAATCGGGACGAATTATTCTTTCACTCAATCGATGTTCAACCGCATCATCACAGTTGGATTCAACAAGAAGGGGTGCCCAAAGAAATTCCACAGTCGCATTATAATCCTACACAAAAAATGAACAAAAAAANNNCCAAAAAAAAAAAAAAACGTAGCACTCTTGAATCATATCCAAAGTCATTATCATAATCATAAGAGGTTTTTAGCTTCTTTACTTTTGAATTTTGATTCATAACCAGGACTGAAAGGATCAATATCAGAATACCATATTTCTTTACATACAGACATTAATGTTACAATTTTTACACATAGTTATCTAAGTTTTACAAAACTTGCACCCCTAAAACAATCGACAAATACCACTTCGCATATCCAAATACTTTACCATTACAAAGTATGGCCGATAATAGTATGTGAAGAACCATAACATACATAACGCTGACCTCTGCTCTAAAAATCGTGAGCTCGGAATTTGGTGTGATCGACCGTTTATCGGATGGAATAACAGACTGCAACAAACACAACATTGAAATCCACTGCCCTCTGTTCAAAGAATCCCCCACAAACATTAACTTCTTTCCCCTCAATTTCTCCCACATTTCCCTTGCATCCCATCTATACACTCACAGAACAAGAAAATCACCCATTAAAATCCTTCGAAATTTCACTTTCAACCAGCATTTCTTTCTAATATCCATAAACCGAATAAATTTTAGCACAAAGGGATTAAAATAAAATTAAAAAAAAAAAAACAGAAAAAAAAACAGAATAAACCTTTTCAAATTACAGCCTTGTGGCTGCCATCTCCAAAACTGGTACTGCAAATCGGGTCTACCGTGTTTTCCACAAGCCAATTGATCAGACATGTAAGGACAATCGGACTCATTATATAAAGGATATGAAATGTTATGAAAAACCCATTTCCCCAAAAAAATATTGCAGGATTCGACTTCAGTCCGGCCGCCAAACACCGCCTTGTTAACGGCTGAAACACCTCTCCGGCCACCATAGCTCACCGTGGAAGCACACTTGCTGAATTTATCCAGACCAACTACAAAAGCCAACAAGAAAAAGGGAAAAAATCACAGTAACCAAACCTATTTCTTTTTAAATTCCAAGAACTGATAACACCCAGCACATTTGATAAGTAAAAACCACTAAAAACAATATTTTTATGAAACCAGCTTATAGGAAGTGCACAAAAACAGCGAGAAAAATTCAATAATTTGGAAAAAATACAGAAAACGAAAGAAACCTGGAGAATTTTTCGAGAGATTAATGTTCTGGGTTGGCGCGGGTTTGAGCAAAGAACCGTCTTGGAGCGTCGATGGGCGCCGGTCGCCATTATCATCATCTGTGTGAATCACTTGAATGTTGGACTCGTTGTAGAGGATTGTGAGGGCTATGAAAACGAAGAACACGAGCGCGATAAGGGGGAAATGGGTTTTCTTCTTCTGCATTGCTTGTGAATTTTGACGGAATTTGATCCGAAAGTGGGAAAATTCAAGATTTATTTGATTGGGTTTTTTGGTCGGCCGATAAGGACCCGTAATGTATAAGCAACAATAAGTGGGACTTGAAGAGTGTGAATAATGAATATATGCAAGTAAAATAATTAGTCCACAAATCAAGAGAAAGGTCAGAAGGTTCTCAGCTGGAAATCTCATTGAGGGGAGACAAATCCCAATTAAAGGGTTTAAAATAAAATCACAAAAGGAGAATTAGAACTTAGAAGTGTGTGTGTGTTACATGGACCGGAAGTGGACGGCCACAATCTCGGCTCCTCACTCACTAATCAAAATAATGAGAGGCAAATCACAGGCCGGTTCTTGAGAAGTTCTTGATATAATAAGTAATGAATAAATTGTTGATCTTCAAGTGATTGCATCTTTTATTGTCATTCATTCATCGATTTTTCTCTCCTTTCTTACTTACTAAAAATTTTGCTTTTAGTTTTCCTCTTTTGTCATTTGGTGTAGATATGAGAGTGAAATATAAATGCAGGACAAATAATTGTAGAAGGAATATGACAGAGAGATTGGCTTTATGATCTTTTTAAGTTTAATTATGTGTTTAATAAGTATTTTAATCTAGCTTATAATTTATTTAATTACTTTATTATATTTTTTATTTAGATAATTTTTGTTTGATTTTTTTTAAGTAAATTGAGCTTATTATGTGCTTCCTAAGTAGTTTTTAAAAATGACTATTAAAAAAAATTAATTTCAATTTACATATCAACTAATTTTATCAAATCCTACAATTGGTATTTTCAAAAACTTAATCAAACTTCCATTGAAAATCCAGTTATAAAAGCAAAGTTCTTCATTATCTCTGTATACTACACACACAAGTACCTTCTTCAAAAACTCATAGTTCTAAGCTCTAACCCAATGTGTGTCAAATTCTCCATATATTCCATGTACAATAAAATAAAATAAAATAAAATAAAACTCAG